TGAATGTTAGGTTGTATTAAGCTAGAGCAACACACTAAACCCATAAAAAACGATGAATGTTAGGTTGTATTAAGCTAGAGCAACACACTAAACCCATAAAAAACGGTGAATGTTAGGTTGTATTAAGCTACAGCAACACACTAAACCCATAAAAAACGATTATAAATATTATTTATGATTTTAACTTTATACACAAGTGCTAAAATACTATAATAATTAGAATCTGTGTGTTTATTTTATATTTTTCGCGGAAGATTACACAAGTGTTACCTGCGCATAACCACCCCTAACTTTGAAATGATAGACTAAAGACATCTAATCTCGTGTATCCACTGCCATCTTCTGGGCTAATCTTGACTGAACGAATACTGAGATATACTGTCACCTATTTAACGCGCCTACAGCACGATAATCACTGAGCTACGGCCCATCAAAACAGAATGGGTTGTGGAATGCATGACCTGTCACACACTAACCCATATTTCCTTAATTTTCTCCTCAAATTAATAGTGTTACAAGGTGTGTCATAATTATAAACTTCGCTGATGTTGTGTATAGAATACCACACGTTACTTCTGTGTTAAGAGATGACCATTATGGCTCCACACTAGGTAAATGAGTACAAGAAGGATGTTATCAAATGGATTGAAGTTCTTTGGGAATAGTCCAACACTGTTCTAAGAAATGTTTCTTTACTCACCGCCAGAGTAAACGAAAAATTGCAGTAAAATATTTCTTCGAACAATCATTTGAGAACTTTGAAAAGGAACTGTCCGGCGCCAGAACTATGACTTCAAGTATTTATGGTTCGTGTCCCGTTGCTGCCAAAGCTCGCTCCGCACTTTGGAGGCCATATCCCACTATTCGGTCAGAGAAACGTTGTTCAAGAAGTTTTTTTTTTTGGAGGGGGTGGGGGAGGGTGCTATTGACTAGCTACCTCCATCCTCCCCTGTTAATTCAAAATTAAAGACGGCTATGTGCAGACAGTCCCTTGAATAGTATTACACAACAATTTGAAACTAACAAAAAACTACCTGATGTTAGATTATACTGTTCAGATAATAATGATTAATAGATAGAAAGAAAAACAGTAACACTGAATATTTCAAAATTGGAAAATAAAGTTTTTTCTATATATCTTACATGTTTATCTGTGTTTTAAATAAATTTTCCTATTTTATGTTGAAGTTCTCGATATTTTCGACGACTGTGACACATTTTTTGTTGTTGTTGTTAATTACCATGACTCTAAAATTTTTCATTTCCATTTTTTTGTTGTTGTTAAGTACGATGAATCAAAAATGTTTCCCTTACATTTTTTGTTGGTGTTGTTGTTAAGTACGATGAATCTAAAATGTTTCCCTTACATTTTTTTGTTGTTGTTGTTGTTAAGTACGATGACTCTAAAATTTTTCCCTTACATTTTTTGTTGTTGTTGTTGTTAAGTGCGATGACTCTAAAATTTTTCCCCTACATTTGTTATCAGAAATAGTTTCCATTTCTAAAATGACGTTTGGTTGTCATTAAAGAGGTCCTGGATATAATAAACACATTCCACATAGTTTTCCAAGTATCTAAAAGTAGTCGTTCGTTAACTACACAGCATCCGATACGTTCTCCAAGTATCTAAAAGTAGTCGTTCGTTAACTACACAGCATCCGATACGTTCTCCAAGTATCTAAAAGTAGTCGTTCGTTAGCTACACAGCAT